ATCTGCCTGTGATCCCCAATGCTAGATTTCATTCTACAGCCTGAGGAAGGGACCCCGAGTGGCCCCGAAACGTTGCAATGTGACAAGATGTGTGCCATCAATAAAATGATCACTGCTTGAAGATTGAACCACGGTGTGCTGGTGACGACGTACTTTACAATTCATTCTACGGCTGTCATCGTCCTTCGCAGTGTAGCTTCTGATTGGCTGCATGGGGCAATACAGACAGTTCATAGTCTAGAGGAAGGGCCGGCAACCTCTTCCACACGGCGGGTTGTATTTATGAAACGTTTGCAGAGCCGTTCGTACTGCGAGAAATCCGACTTGTAGATTCGCACCTCGTTGCGGCCACTAGAGGGAGCCGAGGAGATCGGCCAGAACGAGGTGTGAATGGAAAACGCAGAACGAGCGGCTGTGCGAATGTTTCATCATCACACCCCTGACGTGTCCATGGACACCAGACAACCGGCGGGCCAGCAGACAACAACACATTGTGGCCACAGATTGTGTTCGGTTATGCTGCTGATGGCAAGTTGTTATATAATAATAATGAATCAAACATCAGCAGAGCGACTACAAGCACAAATATTCATTGACTGATGTACACACATGTTCAGCCCCAATGCATGCACTTCAGACCTCAGATCAGCCCTAATGCATGCACTTCAGACCTGAGATCAGCCCCAATGCATGCATGTCTGACCTGAGATCAGCTCCAATGCATGCAATTCAGACCTGAGATCAGCCCCAATGCATGCACTTCAGACCGGAGATCAGACCCAATGCATGCACGTCTGACCTGAGATCAGCCCCAATGCATGCACTTCTGACCGGAGATCAACCCCAATGCATGCACTTCAGAACGCAGATCAGCCCCAATGCATGCACTTCAGACCTGAGATCAGCCCCAATGCATGCACTTCTGACCGGAGATCAGCCCCAATGCATGCATGTCTGACCTGAGATCAGCTCCAATGCATGCAATTCAGACCTGAGATCAGCCCCAATGCATGCACTTCAGACCGGAGATCAGACCCAATGCATGCACGTCTGACCTGAGATCAGCCCCAATGCATGCACTTCTGACCGGAGATCAACCCCAATGCATGCACTTCAGAACGCAGATCAGCCCCAATGCATGCACTTCAGACCTGAGATCAGCCCCAATGCATGCACTTCTGACCGGAGATCAGCCCCAATGCATGCATGTCTGACCTGAGATCAGCTCCAATGCATGCACTTCAGACCTGAGATCAGCCCCAATGCATGCACTTCAGACCTGAGATCAGCCCCAATGCATGCACTTCTGACCGGAGATCAGCCCCAATGCATGCCCTTCTGACCGGAGAGCAGCCCCAATGCATGCCCTGCAGACCGGAGATCAGCCTCAAGTTTACGAGTCTGGGAACTGCAATGATCCCAGAAACATAAAACGTCCTAATAATAGATATCAGAGGAATAGAATATAATCAACGAAAACCTAACAATCAGCAATGACGAGAATCATCATCACACATTGTAATATTATAATAGCGACATAATAATAATAATAATAATAATAATAATGGAGGGAGAAGATGAATCATCATTATTGGTTTTCTATATCCGTCATTAGGACAAATTTTATGATTTTGTTTTTCGATTTTCTGTGTTTATGACTTTATTTGATTTCCGGTCCTGATGAAGGGGAGTTTGGAGACCCCGAAACATGCTGGCTTCTTTTCATGTCATATATAATAAAAAAAAAGCAATCACCCGGAGAAATGCCTCACAGACATCCCTGGAGTGCATGGAGACAGGAAACTGCACTGATGGATCTCTTTCTACACTGATAAGAACTTTTCCCACACTGAAGGGATCTCTTCCCACACTGATGGGATCTCTTCCCACACTGATGGGATCTCTTCCCACACTGATGGATCTCTTCCCGCACTGATGGGATTTCTTCCCGCACGGATGTGTCTCTTCCCACACTGATGGGATCTCTTCCCGCACTGATAGAACTCTTCCTGCACTGATGCGATAGATTCCTGCACTGATAGAACTCTCCCCACATTGATGGATCTCTTCTCGCACTGATAGAACTCTTCCCACACTGATGGATCTCTTCCCGCACTGATAGAACTCTTCCCACATTGATGGATCTCTTCCCGCACTGATGGATCTCTTCCCACACTGATGGATCTCTTCCCGCACTGATGGATCTCTTTCCGCACTGATGGATCTCTTCCCGCACTGATGGATCTCTTCCCGCACTGATGGGATCTCTTCCCACACTGATAGAACTCTTCCCACACTGATGGATCTCTTCCCACACTGATGGGATCTCTTCCGGCACTGATAGAACTCTTCCCACACTGATGGGATCTCCTCCGGCACTGATAGAACTCTTCCTGCACTGATGGGATCGATTCCCGCACTGATAGAACTCTTCCCACACTGATGGATCTCTTCCAGCCCATGCGTCCTTGCACTCGCCCCCTCCTTATATCAACCTGTAGAATTGGGAGACTCCCAGTGCAGCGGATTCCAGTTCAGAACTGGGAATTGTTCGTTTCAGGTGACTGGGAGAGCCGAGGCTAAGCAGATAATTAGGCCGGTCTCAGGATTACAGAGGATTAGACAGATGCTGTCACTGGGACAATAGCGGCGAGGTGACACGCTGTCTCTGCGCTCTCTTCACCCACCATGGGGAACTCCAGCACCCAGCCTGGCCCCGGGGCCCCCAGGATGATGGAGGTTATACTCCTGTTGGCTCTCTTCCTATATGGGATCCCGGCGCTGGAGTTTCCGGTGTATCGGATGCAGCAATACAGCCTGGAGGGACACACACACGGTGAGTGGATGGGATCAGGATGTGACCCAATGACCGGAATATGACTCCCCCCCCCCACCTGCACTGACCCGGGGTGACAGGTCCTCGCCGGGCGATATCTCTGATGAGAGTCAATGTAACAAATCTGAGATAAGTTACATTGTAATGTGAACGGAGCGCTCGGAGCGTTCACAATGAAGAGGCCCCATTGTAAAGATCAACATTAATGATTAAAGTCAAAACCTGACTCCGCCCACTGCAGAAAAAATAGAAGTTATAGCCGTTATATTCCCATTTTCTGGCGTATCTCCTCTACCTCATCGCCCTCTTCCCCCTCGGGGGCTGACCAGCTGATGCTGCACTCATTTCCATTTCTTTGCCATGGCAGAGGGGGCGGGATCATTGTGAGGCCGAGGTAATGATTGGCTGGCTGTGTGTGAGTGTGATTGGATAATGGTTTGGCCCAGTGAGGCTGTTGTATGAATGGTTTGGCCCAGTGAGGCTGTTGTATGAATGGTTTGGCCCAGTGAGGCTGTTGTATGAATGGTTTGGTCCAATGAGACAGTTGTAAGAATGATATGGTCCAGTAACACAGTTGTATGAAAGGTTTGGTCCAGTGAGGCTGTTGAATGAATGGTTTGGTCCAATGAGACAGTTGTAAGAATGATATGGTTCAGTAACACAGTTGTATGAATGGTTTGGTCCAGTGAGGCAGCTGTATGAATGGGATGATCCAGTGATGTAATTGTATGAATGGTTTGGTCCAGTGAGCCAGTTGTATGAATGGTTTGGTCCAGTAACACAGTTGTATGAATGGTTTGGTCCAGTGAGGCAGCTAGTTGTAGTGATGGTATGTCCCAGTGAGGGTGTTGTATGAATGGTTTGGCACAGTGAGTCTGTTGTATGAATGGTTTGGCCCAGTGAGGCTGTTGTATGAATGGTTTGGTCCAATGAGACAGTTGTAAGAATGATATGGTCCAGTAACACAGTTGTATGAAAGGTTTGGTCCAGTGAGGCTGTTGAATGAATGGTTTGGTCCAATGAGACAGTTGTAAGAATGATATGGTTCAGTAACACAGTTGTATGAATGGTTTGGTCCAGTGAGGCAGCTGTATGAATGGGATGATCCAGTGATGTAATTGTATGAATGGTTTGGTCCAGTGAGCCAGTTGTATGAATGGTTTGGTCCAATTGTATGAATAGTATGGTCCAGTGAGACAGTTGTATTATTGGGATGGTCCATTGGGTGACTCTGATAGAATTTTGGAAACTCTCTGCAGGTTGTAGGTCGGTCCAGGTGAACGCAGAGAGCCGAACACTGGAGGTGGAGATACTGACCAGGCGCTGTGTGCTCATGAGAATCACAGAGTTCTCCGTGGAGAGGTGGAGCCGGGTCCTTGCCCAGATGGGGGGGGGGACATTAGAGTGTAAGCTCCTCTGTACAGAGACTGATGTGACTGTGGGGGGAGGGGACATTAGAGTGTCAGCTCCTCTGTACAGAGACTGATGTGACTGGCTCAGTGTTCTCTGTACAGCACTGCGGTATATGTCAGAGCTACAGAAGCAATTATGTTCTCTCAGGCCACGCCTCCCAGATGTACTGACCAAGTGTGTGTCCCCCGCAGGAATTTGTGGAGCGGGAGATGGAAATCCTCCGGAACGAGACGCTATTTCCGGTCTATTTTGCGGTGGAGAATAAGGAACTCCTGGACATGTATGAAGACACGAGGTCCGTGTCTCTGTCTCTGACATCCGCCTCGGCCTGGGAAGGTGAGTGTTACATTACCGTCACCATCATTCAAGGAGAACAACAGCGACTGGCTAAAAAAATCCAACCCAAACAACCGAGAGCCATTAATCGGGGATATCTTTCCGTTTGTCACGTAGTATTCCGGCATCACAAAATGGCCGGGGGGCTAATTATTTATTTATTTTGGGTGGAATCTCGGTCATAAAGGGTTTCAGTTCTCAGCACACAAGAGTTTGGCTGCAACCACTTATACATGAATACGTTTTTAATGTGTCTGTAGCACTTATTATTATTATGATATATTTATATATTATTATTAGAGGTGCACCGAAATGAAATTGAAATGAAAAATGTTTTTTATTCTAACTTTTCCAAATTTTTTTAAATATTTTATTTTTAATTATTTTTTATACACACAAAGTCCTCTGAGACACACAGAGTCCTCAGAGACACAGAGAGTCTTTAGAGACACACAAAGTCCTCAGAGACACACAAAGTGCTCAGAGACACACAGAGTCCTCAGAGACACACAGAGTCTTTAGAGACACACAAAGTCCTCAGAGACACACAGAGTCCTCAGAGACACACAGAGTCTTTAGAGACACACAAAGTCCTCAGAGACACACAGAGTCCTCAGAGACACACAGAGTCTTTAGAGACACACAAAGTCCTCAGAGACACACAGAGTCCTCAGAGACACACAGAGTCTTTAGAGACACACAAAGTCCTCAGAGACACACAGAGTCCTCAGAGACACACAGAGTCTTTAGAGACACACAAAGTCCTCAGAGACACACAGAGTCCTCAGAGACACACAGAGTCTTTAGAGACACACAAAGTCCTCAGAGACACACAGAGTCCTCAGAGACACACAGAGTCTTTAGAGACACACAAAGTCCTCAGAGACACACAGAGTCCTCAGAGACACACAGAGTCTTTAGAGACACACAAAGTCCTCAGAGACACACAGAGTCCTCAGAGACACACAGAGTCTTTAGAGACACACAAAGTCCTCAGAGACACACAGAGTCCTCAGAGACACACAGAGTCCTCAGAGACACACAGAGTCCTCAGACGCACACAAAGTCCTCAATCTCTTTTTCTGTATCCCCTGTTATCAGTGAATAGGAATCCTCTATACTGAGTGGTCTTGATCATTCATAACATGAGGACAGAGTGTGTTTACTATAACTACAATTATGAATGAACAGGAAGTGATCTAGGATGTGATGTAGATCACTTCCCATTCATTCATAATTGAGGATATAATAACCATACCATGTCCTCAATTATCTACAAACACTCAGCGATCACTGATCACCGACTGCTTGTACCGCTCTCCATCCTGACACGCTGTCACAGGAGGCTAAGCGAGCGGTGGGGGGAGGAGAGCTCCGCCTCCTGTGACATCGCTGGCTGTCTCCGCCCACACACTGCTCTCCCAACCTGTGATAGGCGGCTGAGCGCTGTGGGAGTGGACAGTCGCCGTCCGATCACTGCGTTCTCTTTCTGCAGCACTCGGCCGCCTGTGACAGTTTCTCTCCTCCCCGCTGGGACACAGAGCAGCGCCCAGCGGGGAGCAGAGAAAGCACGGATGCGCCGCTGTTTCGGCCACAAAACGGCACTTTTCGGCAATTTGCCAAAAGTGCCATTTTCGGCCGATATATCGGTGCATCCCTATTTATTGTTCAGTCTTTCAGCTGAGCAATAGTCAATGTTACACAATGGACATCAATGGAGTATGAAATTGCAGTCCATTTTTAGGTCCGACCTTGGTGCCAATGAACCCTAATTCTTATTACATTTACCCAACATTATTTCTTACTTGTCAGGAGTGGGGTGGTTGTGGTGGGGAGGGGGGTGACAACATTGCTGGGG